TTCACATTCCATGGGGGTCGTTTGGGGCACTGCATAAAATTCGTCGGCGCAGAGCATTGATGTTCGCGATCAGATGTTCGAAATTCTGCCCAATATCAGAACGACATTTTTACTGCGATAGTTCGATTTACACATGAAAACAGAAAAAGTCCAGAAGATGTCTTAGGCAGATCTCCAGCGAGCGCCGACCGAAGGGAGGTGTGAGCATTGTTTTGAATTCATGAATATGTTTAGACCTCTACAGATTTTTGGTTTATATATTTATATCAGATTACGAACCTTATACATAAAAAAAGGAAAGGAAACCAAAAGATGCCTTAGTTAGGGCCCAGCGAGCGCCGACCGAAGGAAGGCGAGAGCATTTTTTTGGATTTATAAGTCACCAAAGGGCGTTCGCCTGCGCAGTTCCAACTTAATAAAGTCAAGGGACCGAGCGAGTGGAGACGAGCGTTACCTTGTTAGACAAAAATTCTTCTACTGGAAGCATAATCTACCAAAACACAATGTCTGCCTGAGTATTCGGTGTTGCATTAGCATAAGCTAGCCTTTCTTTGCAACAACCATGCTTGCAAAAATAAAAATTCAGTTCAGTTCTGTTCATCACTTTCTTCTTGTGTTCTTTCACCGTGATTAGTCAAAAATCAGCCAATAGAAAAGTAGAAACAACGATGTCACTTGTTGACAGGAGAGAAAATTCATGTCACCACTTAATTAAAGTTCTACAGTTTTTCGAGGTATTAATTGTCTTTAACTCTCGGAAGTCGCCTAACAAATGCATTTTCAGAACGATATTTGATTTATTGTAAATAAAAAATCTACAGCACTCAATCAAATTCGCTCAGATGTATCCTTGCACCCATATGTTCTACTTCAAATAACTTCAGATATTAGGAATAATAAGATTAAGGAGATTTCTGTCAGTCGGTTTTCTTCACCAGTTTGTAGAGGACAGTTTGAAATACATCTCGCAAAATTTTCTCCATCCTCAAGCTTGTAGTTTTTGAGAAAATTTTTTTAAAGTTTTCCTCAAGTTTTTGCCCTATTTGTAGAAGCAACAATAAAATTTTCAGATTTCTAGTTATAACCTCGATTTCAAGATCAGTCGATAGAGGACATCAAGTTCTATCTAACAGAAAAATTTCTTAATTTTCGATCAAGTTCTGATTGAGTTTGACCTGCTCGATAGAGTTTTGTAGCAAAGAGTATTATTTAAACGTAGGTGTTTTATAAATATATGATTCCGAATATGACGATGGGGGTTCCGATAGCCCCTCGAAGATCCTGTTTTTTGAAAAAACAGTTTTTCAGAAACTCTAAAAAATAACCAAAACTTGTGATAATGAAGCATGATTGTAGCCCGCAAATTTCTGATCAAAAAAGTTTTTCTTGTATATTCTATCACTTTGCAAAGAAAGATCATGTAGAGCTGGTACAGGTTTCATTTTGATCGAAAATTTGTGGGCTACAATCATGCCTCATTACAAAAGAATTTGGTTATTCTTTGGGGTTTCTGAAAAAGTGGTTTTTCAAAAAACAGGATCTTCGAAGGACTGTGGGAAACCCCCATGGTCATATTCAAAATCAGTATGGTTGATCACCTTTTTTGATGCATCAATGTCATTTTTCAATTTCAATTTCAATCACCCACTGAGACCAAGAAATTTGAGACTAACCGTTGGAGACTTTATTTTCAACTTTTTCCATGAAATTTTCATCACATAAGGGACAAGAAGAAAACATACATTCCTCATTCAATGTATTACACACTTGTGAATCTGTAAAACTTTGTAATGAACTGCAAGCTCCTCCTGTAATATATTTATCAATTGCTTTCAATAAAAGATGAACATTTTCGTGGTAAACTCAGAGACACATTCGATGAGACAAAGCTGCTTTTGGAGCAACGAATGGAGGACGCAACTCTGCGAACGACGACCGACTGAAATCAACTCCCTTATTTTCCTCTCTAAACAATTCGAAAATTTCACGCAAACTACTGAATAAAATTCGTTTTTGATATGCAGTTTTTTTCCCTGATCATCCTTCACAATAATCGTATCTCGCTTTCCTGGCAACTGGTAAGAAATATCATCACGAACATAAAACTTCTGAACCGCCTCTTTCAACTTTTCTGGATGCTGAGCAGTGACACGCTCATGCGTAGATGGAGCAATTAATCCCAACTTTTTTGCAATATGCTGGACAACAACCTTCTTTTTTCATAAACATTTTGGATATTTAGATCGTTAACGTTATATTAGACCCATATAAGATCGATTCATCAGATTAATCGGCCCAGATATTCCAGCTTTTGATGATTTTCATTAGATGAGTATTTGTCATAGCCAAGGGTTAGGGGTATATTTCTGCTAAAAAAGTTAACATTTTTTGATTTAACTAATACAAAACGGACATGAATTTTCTCTGACGGAAAATTCTCTGTGAAATGTGCTAACTATTTAGGAAAAGTGAATTTTCTTCATAAAAATTTGGTTGTAAATGCAGCTTAAGGACATATTCAGAATCAGCGGAATCGGTTCTATCCAACACCATACAAAAACTTCATCTTGTACACTTGTTTTAGAAAATGATAGAAACGTTTCTGGGAAAAACCGCATTTTCAAAGTGTATACTTGGTTCAAACAGTTTCCCAAAGTTTCCCAATCTCACTGAACCTTGATCCTTGGTCAAAGTAAGCACTAATACCTCCTACAGTTACAGTATTAGCGAAAAGTTGCGAAACTTTAACTGCTGCTCTGGCCAGATTTTCAAAGATCCCTCGGTTTTTGAGGTAAAACTGCGCTTTCTGCTTCGTAAAAACATGTTCTTTTGCATAAAATATACATATTAAGAATCAGCATGAAAAACTGCATCGAATGGTGTATAACTCATCTGGTTTCGGTGGCTCGATTTTGAATTCTAGAATTTTTACACGACAGAAAGAGAAAAAGACTTTTCTTTGAGATTCACATAAACAATTTCGTGCTGAAAATTTGAATTTCAAGATAAAATAACCTGAACGGCTCAAAACATGTTTCTTATAGGTTTCCGACGATACTCTTTCCAGTGGCATCGTTTCTGAATATTGAGAAAGTTTTCTGAAGGGTTTTCCAGAGACCGGATCCCTGAAAAACACCCTAGAAAACTTTTGTAAAGCCCAACTCTCCTGCGATTAGAAAGAGGATCGTTTTTTCTCTACATTCTATCGTTTTCGATTCTTCGCTAGTATGAATTTTCCTTTTCTCGTTACTGTTCACCCACAACGTGTATAATGATCCGTTTGCTAGCTTCTACCACACTTCCTCTCCGTCTCTTTTGCGCTTAGAGTAGTATTCATATCTGTTCCCATAGCTCTGAAGAAGTTCTTTCCTGAAAACGCCATGTATTTCAACAGATCGACTCTTATTTCTCGATTAAAATGAACGCGTGGGTCTTTTCCCCCCAAATAAAAAAGTAACACAATTCATTGTGGTCTAATTAGCTTAATGAGTGTAGAAGGTATGAAGATCAAAATCCTATGGTTATATAGAGGAAGAATAGAGCTCCACAATGGTATAATGTTTAATTAATCAGCACTTATCGTTGATCAGCGAAAGTTCATTAAACAAACCTCCATATATTTGAATAGACTGACTCTTTTCTCCCTATCGTTGTAAGTGAGGTGACTCCTTTTCTCCCATGTCGGGAAAAAGGAGTCAATTGAAACCACTCGACTCCCATTTAAATATATCTGGAAAATGAAGATGGATTTTGAGAAAATTTTTGCGCCAGTGTGTAGAGAATTGTCGGTTTTACCATCCTGGTTAATATGAAATTGTTTCCTTTCAAAAATAGATGACAAAAAGGTGAAATTACGAAGAAAATTTTGTGCACTATACATTTAGTCGTATTTTAGCATCTTTTTTGACGTTGTTTTAACGTGTCTTCTGGGGCAAAACATACTCGTATTTTCCTAAGGGCTTTGCGACCATCAAAATAAACATTGAAGTTAAAATTAAACTTTTTTCAGAGATATATAGTCCGAAGTGTTCTCTACAAAACTGAACCAAAGTGACATCTTAGAAATCCATGTTCGGGAGCTATGTCGTTTTTCCTGAAGCCTTAGCACTCCTCTGCCGTTAGGTATGGTACTATCAGAAATGAATGAAGACACAGGTGTGTCGACTATGCTGAATCTGGTGGCAATCTTAGTTTTCAGAACAAAATGCAAGAACCGAGTGATATACTAGATGAAATATTATTTTCATCAAAAATTCATAACTCAGTCAAAACCCATCAAACCTACTTCAGAATGTCTGGATGTACTCTATTTTATCCGCTCATTCTGATTCTGTACTCAAAATCAATAAAAATTCTCTTAGTTCCGAAGGTTTCTGCGATACTTTTCTAGAAACCAAAGTATTTTCTGTTGATTTTGACGAAATTTATTGAGCTTTACTGTATGTTGCATTGTACAGTCGCTGGTACAACGGTTGTACCAGCGACTGTTGAAGAGATGGCTCCTTCCTTGGGATTGTAACGTGGTGCAATGGTGGTTGGAATGACGAAACGAATTTTATTGCTACCACTAACTAAATCCAATTCTGTTACATAACTGATTCTGATCTCACACTCCTTGCCTGACGGTAGGGCACCGACATTGATGACAAAGCAATCCCGTGATTTCTCATCCTGTTCCAACAGATAAGCACCGTGACCTTGTTGCAATGCTTCACTATACTCTCGTTGAGCTTCCTTCTTTTCTTTCAATTGTGCAACGATTTCACGCTCATCAATTTTAGCTGTGAATGAGCAGATAGCTGCATTCTCTTCAATTGGAAAACAGTAGACAGCTTCAATCGATGTTTGTTCATTATTTTGAAACAATTGTGTAAGTGTCACATCAGCAGCAAAGGAGCGAATTTTAGCTTGGACTTTGACTTGTTTCAATGGAATGTGGTTTGTTAGTTGATTCTGAACACGAAGCATATTTATTCTTCTCGGTATGAGCACGTTTAATAGAAGACTAGTTTAACTGAAAACAAAGTGAGAGACGATCTGCTTATATAATACATGAGTTAGATTGCTCAATAAGAGAAAATAATGACATGTCAGTCATTCTGATAGACGGGCATATGGGTGGGGGTGTTCTGCCACTTACCGGAGTTAAAGAGGTAATCGTAACAGTAGAACTTTAGATATAAAAATTCGTGATGCGTTTGGTTCTTTTACTTAAAATTTTTTTTAATCCTTAAGACGCTTCACACTATTAGAAGAACCTTTTTCCAACAAAGATTGTCTATTAGAACAGATAAAAATGTTGTCTTTTCACATACTATCATTCAATCAAACTTAATTTTCTCCTACAGTCATGTAAATAATAATAGAATAATAATAGAATAATCGAGCAGGATCGTCATACATGTTTAGACACACTATCGAGTTCTACCGATTATTTCGGGGAAAATGTCGTTCTACCTACTAACAACTTCGAAAGAATATAAAAGGAAATTGCCGTTTGATGACTGGCAAATGTTCGACATTATATAAGTCTCAGCCACATTTCTCATGTAAGAGCCGGGAAGCAAAACAAATTCAATCGTTGATAAAACATATAGACCAGATTGTGCTTCAATGCGACATATGCGGAAAACGACGCAAGTTCCATATCTCGATCTATCATGGCTCAGAAGCTACAGACGTTTCCAGAGGACCCATCTATCCGCCAAACTTTAGGTCTGGGACTCGCAAAAGGCATATGGTACATAGGTAATCAATCACAGTGAATCTTATGGCAATGTTTATTTTTCGAAAAAGATCCAAAAACGCAGTAAAAACCTACACAAAGGAAGGCGAGTTATTGCGAGGTGAATAACTCGAGAACGCCAGCAGCTATCGAGGTTAGGTTGTCACCGTTATGTAGCCAACATCGGAACACGTAGTCTTATGCGAAAACGAAATTTTTAAGTGAGTCTCTACAGGTTTTCCAAATGGATCTTTGGAAAACCAGTTTGGATCTCTGACAACTGGCATAAGCCCTAGCACTCCTTTATCGTTAGGTTTGGGACTGTCTGACATGAATGAAAACATAGGTTACCGACTATGCTGAATCTCGTGGCAATATTAGTTTTCACAACAAAATGCAAGGACCCAGTAAAAACCTATAGTAGGTGAAATAACCCATTTTTGATTATTTTCATCAAAAATTAAAAAATTCATAACTCAATCAAAATCCATCCAACATACTTCAGAATGTCAAGAAATACCTTATTTTATCTGCAGCATAGTGTAAAGCTCAACAACTGTTGAAAAAATCAACAGAAAATACTTTGGTTTCCAGAAAGGTTTTGCCGAAACTTTGGGAACTAAGAGAATATTTCTTATCGACCTTAGGTACAGAATCAGAATGAGCGGATAAAACAGAATATTTCTTGACATTCTGAAGTAGGCTCGATGGATTTTGACTGAGTTATAAATTTTTTAATTTATGATGAAAATAACAAACAATGGGTTATTTCACCTACTATAGGTTTTCACTCGGTTCTTGCATTTTGTTGTGAAAACTGACATTGCCACGAGATTCAGCGTAGTCGATAACCTATGTTTTCATTCATTTCAGACAGTCCCAAACCTAACGATAGAGGAGTGCTAGGGCTTCAGGAAGAATGTCCATAGCTGCCGAACCTTAAATTTCTGAGATGTTGCTCGGATCCAGTTTTGTAGATAACACTTCGGACTATATATCTATGAAAAAAATCGATCTATTTCTATGCCAGTTATCAGAGATTCAAATTGGTTTTCCAAAGATCCATCTGAAAAACCTCTAGAGACTCACTTAAAAATTCTGCAGGTCTTCATCCAGTTATTCTTCTTCATTCATTCTTAAACTGAAGTTCTTGAATTCTTATGTTGTTCTTGAAAAACTCAGTATACTGGTCAGAAAACCAGCGACCTGTTCTTATCACATTTCAGTAATCTAACCAGGTTCCTGACCAGATCATCTGATCTTTTACTAGGGATGCGCTAATAAAAAGAAAAGAGAAAATAAAAATGTACGAAAAAAAATCGGTGTCCAGTATAAGTTTTGTTTTTTTGAGTCACTATTATCAAGTTGATCATTAGACAAGATTCTTGTTTTGTTTCTTGTCGGAATCCTTTGTTAGAAAAATGTGTATTATTAGCTGACTGTGCAAAAGTCAGACTAAGAGGAATTTTTCTTTATAATTTCGATGCTAGTATAAACAATGGGAATAACGCTCTTTTTTATGAACACTCCATGTTTATTTGTATGTCTTGTAAGCTTTTCATAGAAATTATCATCTTTCGTGTATGCTTAATATGGTTAGGAGAATAGATGATTAGTTTCACAGAAAGTTGTAGTGCCTGAAGACTATGATTATATTTTCTGTTTTTTCCTAATAAGGAAAGAGACAAAAACACTCATCTGTTCTTTTTTTCCTTTTTTGGTCTCTTACATAAACTGTAACAACTCGCGGGGCATTTAGTGTGAAAATAACCATTTTTGAAAATGTTTTGCTCCTTTCTAAGTTTTTAAAAAGTTTTAAACAGTTGTAAACTTTTGTGATTCACTTTTTTGTTCAGTTAAAAATAGCTTTTTTTTTCTTGCAAAACTAGCTATTTTTCGCAACAATTTTTATTTTTTTATTTATTGTAAATCAGAAAATTTTTGTCAACAAGATTCGATTTTTTCCTTTGTCGTATGACTACAATATTTGGTCAATGTTCATGTAGACAACAAGAGTTAAAGATCGTCGCGTTTTACTGTACGTTGTTTTCTTGCATTAAACTTGTTATATTGCAGCAGATTTCGAAAGTTAATAACATAATTGGAGCTAATTTCAACTTCGCTCTTCCCAGTCTGGAACGCTTCTTCAATAATTTCATTTTCAATATCAGCGTAAGCTGTCCAGTGATTATCATTAGCAGTAGTCGATGAATTCCAATACCATTGAAAATTACGTAATGGAGCTGCTGCGGCCATGTTTTTCTTTGTTTTTTACTTTTATTTCTGTTCTGTACTATACTTGGTAAATATATAGGTTAATTCTTTCTGTTCTCTATCTCACACGCAGTTAGTCATCATGATGATGATGACAAAAAAGAAAATTAAGAATACTGACTTTATGTACGAGACCAAAAAAGGAAAAAAAGAACAGATGAGTGTTTTTGTCTCTTTCCTTATTAGGAAAAAACAGAAAATATAATCATAGTCTTCAGGCACTACAACTTTCTGTGAAACTAATCATCTATTCTCCTAACCATATTAAGCATACACGAAAGATGATAATTTCTATGAAAAGCTTACAAGACATACAAATAAACATGGAGTGTTCATAAAAAAAAGAGCGTTATTCCCGCTGTTTTTACTCGCATCGAAATCATAAAGAAAAATTCCTCTTAGTCTGGAGTCCTCATTGGGGTTTGGCTTTTGGAGGTTCCGATTCAACGTAAGAGTTTTAGTATTGCTTTTCTATTCTTTTATCATGAGATTTTTTCATTCCAGACGTGGCCGTGTTCAGAACTGTACATTTCAGAATAATGTTTTAGAAAACAACGATCGGCAGCAAACTGGTAACGGCGAAATTGTCGTCTTCTATGCCTCCCAAAATAAAGTCCTGCAAAACACCATAAAACCAAATAGCCAGAATATCGTCATGTTTACCTTACCTAAGGGAAATGAAGACAATTCATTCGATTATAATTTATATCATCCAAATGGAAAGGACTCGACAGAGGATGATTTGATATTCAACTGGAATAATAAGGAATACGATGGACTGACCCAGTTTCAACAGGAAACAGGTCAAGAAAAACATGCCAAAGTCTATTAGAACACAAATTGTCTTCTAGCTATCTATTTTCGAAAACAATAAAAAGTACCGTAAACAGAATTGCAAATTTATCATTTCTTTCAACTCAGTTAGAAAGGAAGCATACAGCCTCCAGTGTTACCTATTCAGCGTAGAATTTAACCAAGGAGAAGATAATATGTACAGTTTTTGACGCTGATTCCGAATATGATATTTTATTGCCTAAAAGTTGAATTCTGATAGAGAAAACTGCGAATTACTAGCAGAATTCCGACTTTTTTGCCTATGATTTAGAAAAAATGATTTTTCTCAGCAGCAAAATACACTTTAAAAAAAAGCTAATCGTACTTTTAAAGGTGGGCTTTTAGCGAATCTAATGACGTGCAAAAGAGGCCTTCAACCAAGGGGGAAAAGCAGTATTAATACCGAAAAAAATACAATACATATACTACTCATATACCCGTTACATACCACTCACATACCCAAATACCAACTGAAACTTATTTTCCCCAAAACAGAACAATCCTGTTCTTTTATTCGGAAAAATTTTCTGACAAAGGAGCAATTGTGTTCTGTTCTTGGAGTTCTTTTCCCACAGACAGAACCCTTTTGTTCTGCTTTTGGAAACCGAAATCTGGGTTTCTGGAGATCTCATAAAACGCTGATTTTTGAGATCTCAAGAAGTTCTCGAATGAGCTTTTTAAGCAAAATAAAATGAGTCATCTTGGAAGAGTAGCGAAAATACCGGTTACATACCGAAACTGCTTTTTCCCCTTGGCTTCAGCCCTGAACACAAATAAATAGATAGGTTTACAAAATTGCATGCTCGCACTATAGAGGGGAGGCTTAGGACGCCCATGCTAGACAGGCTTTTAACTTCGAAATGGATCAAATACCATTTTAATATTCATTTTTTAACAGTGAACCCGAGCAAAATTGTTTGAAGATTTCCAAATCATCTAGAGCCGAAATATTAAAAATTTATTGAACTTGAAGAATTTTTCGAACTTTACTTCCCTGAAGTATTTTCGATCTTTCCACGAAAAAATGTTTTCTGAAAACTTAAAAAATACATTTTCTTAATCAGCTCAATGAGCTCAAGGCAACGACACATAGTAAAGTGGGAAAAAGTTTTTGCTGCAAGTTTGCAATACACGCACTGTATGTGTATCTTGGTTTCAATGTTGGAAAAGATTTATCTTTATATGTGTCTGTCTACACGTGTATTAACATGTTCTAAAAAGGATGCAAAACATTAAAAATAAAACGACCTTTTGATGAAAATATCATAATTTTAATGTATTAACATAAAAACGTATTATAAACTTCTGTTCTCGACCAAATTTATAATTCATACGCTTTTCCTATCTTATGTACGGGTCTTTTGTTTATTCTGCTACATGTGAAGAAAATTAATCTTTTTTCAGTTCTCTTCAATCTAAATTCGCTGACTGTATGCGTTTAAGGGTACTCCTCTTTTTTGAAAAAATTTCAGATTTTGAGCTGAGCATAGCCTAATGTAGAGCAAAATGTGGGCTACAAAATAAGACCACTCCCAGCTCTGCACGCCGGTTTTTGAAAAAGTTATACATTTTTGAAGTTTTTCCTTCAAAACCTAAAAAACTCAATTTTTTAGTCTCGTAAACTATTCTCTCATTTTCTGTAGATGCAAGGTTTTTCTTACACATAGTCTGATAGAAGAAAGAGTTTCTGGCCCAGCCCGGCCGACTACTTTTTAAATTTTTCGGGTGTCAGGCGTAATTGTTTTCATTATTAGCTAAACGAAGTCATTAAAAGAGCCTTCGCAAGAAAACCAACCTAGGTACCGTAAGACTGCCCGCTGGTAAACTCTTTTTTTAATTGTTTAAATGTCATTCGAAAGGTCATTCAAAATGACTACGAACACTGCAATAACTCTTTCTGAAAGTGTTTTGTTAAGACACTAGAGACCAAACATTCTATTGGGGGTCGCCGATTAATCGAAAACACGTGAATTTTCACTAATCTTTGTATTATTTGATTTTCTCAAAACTATGAAGCTCCTATGACTGGTTCATGGCTCATTTGAAAGAGAGATGTTTTCTCTATAAGATCATGTATTTAGACATAATAATATGTGTAGCTATTTAGCCGAAATGTCCGAAATGAATCCGAAAATGTTGCAAAAAGGCAGTTAACCGTCTTTGTTTACTGTCAATTTTTTGGCTGTTACACCAATGCCAACGACACTCATTAGTGATTCTGTGTATGTACGTCTGTCACACTCACTGGCCACGATATGTATGCCACATGACTATATGTCTGTACGTCCGTCACACTCACTGGCCACGATATGTATGTACGTCCGTCACACTCGGTGGTCACCATATGTGTGTACGTCTGTCACACTACCACAGGACTATTTGTATGTACGTCCGTCACACTGCCACATGACTATATGTATGTACGTCCGTCACCGTGTGTGCTTACGTCCGTCACACCCGTGTACAGACACACACACAAACACTTTCACTTTTTCGTATGACCATAGACTTACAGTCAATGGAATAAATCACAAATTGATTCTCGTGATTGAATTATGTATGAAATTTAATGTAAGAAAAGAAAAAATACTTTTTTTATGTCTTAAGCAGTGATATTGACGGTCCAATATCTCCACAAATTCAGCCGATCTTTTTCTGAAAAATAGCTGAACATAATGTGTAACTTGTGTACGCGAAGTTAGGGTAAAAAAGGCCAGTAAGTACTCTCGACTTAATGCGATCTTAATTGATCAAGTTAACGGATTATGCATTAAACTCACAGTGAGAGAGAAAAAGATTATTGAAAGTTGAATTATTTGGTTTGAAGCGGATATATAAATACATATATATGTGTAACTAATATTTATGAATAGAAAAATACAGTTCAGCAAAACCAGAGAAAGAAAAGAGAATGATATTGATCTATATGTACGCGTAGACTTAATTTTCATGGTTTCCCTAAGATCCTTCTTATTTCAGCATGAAATTAATTTTTTTTCGAAAAGCAATTGAAATTTGGTATTTTTTTCAAAGTTTGATAATATAAAACGTGAACACATACATTATTCCACTAATGACAATATGCATCTGCGTACATTTTGTACTCAATATTTTCAATTTCAACGTAAAACCCGATGTTCTCTTCTGGATAACAAATTTGGTTCATGCGAGCGCTGTAATAATCGCTATGTCTTCGTGTCGGCAGTCGATATTACAAGACATAATTCCTGGAATCATTAAACAAGATATAACTCTAACATAATATTCCTCTATTTCATTTTTTGATGTTAGTAAAACTTGTCTTTCTAAAGAGTGACTATTCTGAAATTCTAAAATGGAAATGATCACTGTCGAAATAAAGATTAGTGTGTACTTTTGCATATAAAGCCGTGCATGAATATATCTTGTATAGAATATGGTTCAGCTTTATAATAGTGTTTAGATTGTGTAATTTATAACTGAAAACGAAAATGTTTCTGTTCTGTATGACCACCGCATTTTCTCTTTCTGTAAAAATAAGAGAAAAAGAAAAGAGAGAGAATGATAATGATCTATATCAATGCGTAGACAAATATATTCTACGCGTAGAAAAATAAATTCTACGTATCGATTTTTCCACGCGTAGAATATAGTCTACGTCTACGTTCTACGCATTCTGTTATTTTTGACGGCTTCCCTAATGAGACAGTCGGAAAACTTGCATCAATAGCGCTAATGCATGCTTGCTCAAAATCGAGCATAATTGAATGAGGAAACCAATGTGGCGCGAACTCAATTATTTGATTAATTAAATGTTGGTACGTTTCTGCATTTTTTTCGAATGGTATAATTACGTTTTCTAATATTTTATTTCCAAGGAACAAAAGAGGCCAAATACTTTGTCCAGCTTTCGCTTTCCAGGTGTATATATATATATATATAGAGTGGTGGATTTGTTGAAAAAGAAAGTAACAATTTTTCAAATTCGAATTCATAGAAGGATACGCATATCATAAATCTTGAACAATCGATTGAACGACAAACACAATAGATATCACCTTGTCTCGATTCTAACATTGTTTTATTATTTCCCAACATATTCGACGGATGTTTTAATTTTTCATACTGATGGACGATGAGTAATCTATCGTCGGCTAAAACGCATAACT